GCTGCTGCTGCTGCTGCTGCTGTTTGGTTATTTCGCTGAGATTTTGTTTTGTGAAGATAGAAAGAGTATCTGACTCTGATAGTTCGGAAACGTTTCCTGCAGAAGTTCAAGACTTAGTGGGAGGAGCAGAAGGCTATGGAATCAAACATTGCTTGGAACCGTCAGCATCTACACACTTCGACGTGTGCTTCTTCAGGGGACGGAGTGCTTATGGGGATGCCCCTTGTGCAGTGATGTCGGTCCTTCACACAAGTAACAAGTAACAAGTAACAAATAACAAGTAACAAGTAACAAGTTTACTCTAACACAGAAAGCAGAGCCCTGACATCTTTATCAGAGAACACAGCAGGCGCAGCGAATTATGAAAGATAAATGAATCAAATGTTGTGGAAAAAGCTTCAGAATCAACCTTGATGGGACAGGTTTATCGGTTGTTGTTCCTGTTTCAGTTGTCCATGTCGCTGTCAGTTTTGTTGTTGCTGTGGTCGTTGCTGTGGTTTCCCTGCTGCTGCTGCTGCTGCTATGTGGTTGTTTTGCTACGGTTTTGTTTTGTGAAGATAAAAAGAGTATCTGACTCTGATTCTGATAGTTTGGAATCTTTTCCACTTACACATAAAACAGAGCCCTGACATCTCTATCAGAGAATACAGCAGGCGCAGCGAGAAATGAAACCACGAATTTTTACGGCGCACTCATACGTTATTCCACTTGTCATGACCTATAATAACCAGATGAACTGACGTGTTTTAACGAGCTATTCCATCTGGCTTAGCTCATGAATGGATTAATTCCAAGTAGGGTGTCCCATAAAACTAATGGTTTACAACTGGGGCCTCAAATTCACATTACGCCATGGTCGCTCGGGGTACAGTCTGTGCGCGCGCGCGCAATGCACACACACGCATGCACACACACATACACACACATACACACACATACACACATATACACACGAATGTGCTCACGCATACGCACACACACACACTCGCACGCATGCGCATGCGCACACATACACACGTACACACATACGCACACACA